TTTTGACCGCGCTAGAAACCGACAATCCAGACGCGTATGACGAGTATGGATGTTTGAAGACAGTGAACAAATTCACAGTTTGGAAAAATAAGCAACTCAAAAAGGCCATGGCGAAGCTCGAAAATGAATATCCGGACGTGCAGATACTTTACGGCGACATGTATAACGGGCTCCGGCGATATATTATCAATTCATCAATCATAGGCAAGTTGTCTTTTTTTTTTTTATTATCATTATTATTATCATCATTATTAACATTTTAGATTATTATAACTTTGTTAACTTATTTTAACAGGGCCCGATCTAGTAAATCGTGCATTGAAAACATGTTGTGGGATCGGAGGGAAATATAACTTCGACCCAAAGAGGTTTTGCAGCCACAAGGGAGTACCCGTTTGCTCCAACCCGGACGAGTACGTATTTTGGGACGGGATGCATTTCACACAAGAGGCTCAAATGAGGGTCGAAAAGTCGTTGATCGTGCCAGCCCTTCAGGCGCTCAATTGCACGCAACTGGAAACTACAGATTCTTATTACACGGACAGCTGGGCTACTACTTATATACGAGCTTCGGACGATCTGGCTAGCATGTGATAATCACCATTATCACAAGCATTGTGGCTCAGTTTGATATATATATGGTTCACTTTTGCATGTTTATTTTGTTCAATAAAGTTGAAAATCCTAAGCCATAAATATTAAACAGTGTGTGTGATGGCTTGTTGTTTTTCTGAGTATTTTGTTGTAATGTAAGTGTGGGTTTAGTGTTTTCAACACTCCTTGTGAACAGAGAGCTTTTATTAATAAACTTTGATATCTATATCTATATCCTTTATCTTTTATTAACTTTTTTTGACTAGATTATACTATATATTCCTTATGTCCAACCATTTTATTAGTCCTACTAAGTAATTTATTGATGAGTAAATCTAGGGTATATTTATAACAAAACTTATGAAAATGCTACAGTCCCGTTACGGAACCATTCCGTTGGAATTTGTAATCGTTAGATCATCATGTAACCGTCATAAATAGTTGATCTAACGGTTACAAGGCAAATCCTGACGTAATGGTTCCATAAAAGGACCGTAGAATCTCCCCAAAACTTAAGGGAAGAATATAGGTTAGGAATACAAGCCAGAAAAAAAAAATAATAATCATAATCAAGCGGATATTTGGTGCATCTGCTCTTCCGCTGTCTCGTGACGCTGACTTTTTACCTGGACCCTCCCAGACCAGGAGACGTTATCTTTGTATTATTGCTATTTTTATAAATAAGAGACTCATTTAGATGAAAGAGCAATCAAATAAAGAAAAGACCATTTAGTTGAAAAAGAACAAAAAGAAGTTGGGGGAATTATTGAGTGATGTACATCATCCTTGGTATACTTTCTCTCCCACAAAACAACGTGAATAAGAAGTTAAAAAGATATACATGTAAAATATAGTAAATCAATTATCAAATCTATATCTATCTATCTATCTATCTATCTATATCTATCTATATCTATACTACTTAGGAGTGTTTTTGTAAAAATTCATAATGCCTAAAAAACCCTTACTTTACATAAATTTAATGGCAAATTAGTAATACACTAATACACATCATATTTTATTTATATTTTTAATTAAAAAATGAACTACCTAAAAAACTCTTACTTTCACATGTTTTTAATGGCAAATTGGTAATATACTAATGTCATCATATCTTATATCCTCCCTATATATAATTAAAAAAAAATAACTTTTTTCAATTCAATATAAGCAAATCAATGAAAATAATATATTTTTAAAAATTTTATGAACAAAAGTTGACTCGACAATATTAATGAATTTACGAATTGTAAATATTTAATTAAAATATTAATTAAAAAACTTTGATTATATATAATATAATATAGAATATACAAATATATGATATATAATAAGGTAGATGATCAAAAAAATTCTATACCTTATATTATGTCTTTTTTGACAAATCTACAGTTAAGAGCATGTGAAAGAACAAGATAAAGTAATATTAAATATAAGAAATAATATGAATAATAACTAAGTTGTGACACGTACGAATAAATATAAGAAAAAAACTAATAAACAAAAATAATATAATTAATATAACTAAATATAAACCATCTAAAAATATACTTATCGATGTAATCGAACTGAGTTGTTAAACGTTTGTTAGTTTTTTGTTCTAATTAATTTTATGTGTAAATTTGAGGTGATAGACAATAGTTATTTGTACATTTATACATGTAGATTAGAAAAAAAATATATTTATTATTCTAATTTTAAATAACGTTTTTATTTACTATATTAGTTTTTTTAATATAATATATAAGTATCATATTGAACAGATAAAACAAAAAATATTTTTATTATATAATATTTAATATGTAAGAAATGTAACTCAATTGGTAAATTAATAGGTAATCTTGGGAATAATGAGTGATTTCTGAAAAAAAAAAAAAAAA